ATTTACAAATTTTCCATTAATTCCCATTGAAAATCAATGGAAATTTTTCCTATGTAAATATTAATGGAATTATTAAACAATTATTTTTCCATTTACGCCAAATGGTTTTGAATGGAATTTACAAATTTTCCATTGATTCCCGTTGAAGTTCAATGGAAATTTTTCCTACGGGATACTCTCAAAAACCTCAATCAAAACTCAAAGAGCAATGAGATCCGCATGAAAAACAAAAACATGTTAGCGCCTACTTTCCTTTGTTATGAATCTACTCCCTCCTTGAACAGTCAGACTTCTGACAGTCTCTGCTCGCTGTATTGCAATGTTAAGTCTATTACTAAGGATACTCCTTTCTGAGAGTGGTCATCAGTACTGCGAGAACGTACTCTCACAAGTCTGGGGACTGAAGGAGGAAGTAGATCCACAAGAAAATAAAGTAGATGCGTGTCACTTTCAAAAATAAGAATCTCCTTAGGAACAGACTGATTATACAAGTGTTAATACTCCAAAGATTTTCGTCTTATTGGCGCAACTACGCGAAATACTCCTCAAACAGTAAATTTTTCTCTTATGAAAGTTTTACTATTATTCGAATGGCAGTTTTATTGATTTTTCATCCCTACACAACACGCGTTCCCAGCGTTTCATAATACCGCAGGCACATTGATCGAATTTTCATTTGTCAATGTCTCCAGCAGGAAGAAACGAACAGGTTCGCTGGCGCTACAAAAATTTCACATTACTTTCCCTTTGGCATCCATCTTCGGTAATATTTACAACGAATTAAATTGTTGTAATCGTAATTTCTTCATTATAAAACACCATTTTTGTAGTCTCTTCGTGAAGATGTTCGTCTTTAAATTTACTATTTAATTTTAAGCTTTTGTCGACACGATATTTCCTTTCGTTACTACAAATCTCTCTTCATATTTGATTAATGAGGATAATCGACTAATCGATCTGACAGATTCTGTTTGGTACATTAATACGTAGTTACAGTTTGCTAGTTTGCCAAAAACTACGTAGAATACCTTATGTAATACATTAAGGATTTTGTCTGACACAAACAAAAATCATCATCAAATGTCAATTGACAGTTCAAAATTCATTAAAAGATGAAAACCAAATTAACAGTGGTCTACATTAATACACCACGCAAGAAAATCCTAAAGCTTATTAACTGAAACTTCAAATGTGACAAATGGGAACAGATGCAGGAAAATGGAGGAAATCTGTAAGAAGGACGGGAAGTTTCGGTTCGATGACAGGAAGTTCTTTGATATTCCTTTTGAAACTGGCTTGGGAAAGTGGCAAAAGAATACCTCTATTGCTTGCAATCGGACTTGTGATATTGGCGGATGTTAGGAGACAGCAAAGAGGACAGCGCAATATAAACAGAATGAGAAGAGTTCTCGAACGAAGAAACAGACTGCAGGAACAGCGACAAAGGGACTCGGGTTCTGCCGATTTTTCCTGGCAAAGTGCCGCAGATCCAGATGCGTCTACCGAAAGCAATTCTTACATGTAGTAATTTACTAAGTCTTCCACTACAACTTTAATACAAATAATACAGAAATAATCATCTCTGTAGTACCTAATTGGTATTTAGTTTATAGTTTATTTATTTGTTTTNATAAGCGAGTAAATTTTTTATCGAAGTTAATCAATTTTCATTGATTTACTATAACTTTTTACCACCAAGACTGCCAAGCTATTTCAAACTCAATAGTGCAAGATCTCAGAACTATAATACATTATCCATTTTCTGAGTAACGAAATGTTTTTTTTTCAATCAACCCTCTTTTTGGTTTATAATAATAAATCGAGCAACCAACAATTTATCGATAGCTATTTGCTGCTACTTAAAATATTATAAAATACAACAGTTAACAGTAAATATCTGTAGATGGCGATAGATTGCCGGCTATTTGCTATTAATGCACTAACTTGCTGGCAAGAAGTAACTTCCTTTAGTCAGAGATTTATAAATAGCAGCACGATCTACCACAACTCCTACTAGGTAAAAGAGGAGATTAAAGAGGGACTCTCGCCCTATCCTCCGGCTTTGCATTACATTTCGTGGTATCACCTTTAAATATAACATTTCGAACGAATGATTGAATGGGTCTGTAATTGTTTTCAGGAGGCGTACCGTCAATGGGTGTGCAGTTCACTGGTGCCTCATTTTGCCACGGGCGTCGACAGTGGCGCGTTCAAAAACGGCGCCCGGCGTCTACGTCCATGCCGCAGCGTTTGCCAGGCGGTTGAGCAGCGATGCCCGTACATGTTACCAGGCGATCGTGCGCCTGCACATCCTACTCAGTACGCCGGCGAGCCTACATTTCTTTGCCTAGGTAAGTCGCACGTCATTCTAATCGAAATTTATCACTTACAGGGGCGACGTTAACGTAGGGTTAACCGAAGCAGTGACCCAGGAGATCCCAGAACTCGATAAGTAGATCATTGCGAAATCATTTACCCCACGATGATTGATTGAAAGATTAATATATGAATATATAAAATGTCCTAATACAGTGTTAAAAGTCATTCCCGCCATTCACACACCTGAACATTCCAGAACATTCTTGATTCTTCCGGTCAACTTCAAATTCTCATCATCATAAGGTCGTCAGTCCCTAAGACTGGTTGGATACTCCACTCTTTCCTATACTGAGAAAATTTTCGCATTTCCCTAAAACTAGAACAGTCCACATCCTTAACTATTTGCGAACAGTAATCTAATCTGCGTCTATCTCTACCCCTCCTAACTCCCGTTTCTGCCTCTAATATGTCTCTGACTAGACCTTCATGCCTGAGAAGGTGTCCTACTATTCTATCTCTCCTATTTCTTATTGACTTCCATAGAGTCCTCTGTTCTCCTATTCTTTCTAACACCTCTTCATTTCTAACCTCTATTCACGGTATACTCATCATACGCCTGTAACGCCACATTTCGAACGCTTCTAATCTTTTCTTTTCCTCAGCGCCCAACGTCCATGTTACGCACCCGTACAGCGCCGCGCTCCAAACATACACCTTTAACAATCTTTTTCGCATTTCTAAAGTAACCGTTCGCGAGCATAGAAGTTCTTTTTATTGAAGGCGACACGACCCTGCGCTATTCTTTGCTTTATATCCTACTACTCCTTCCGTCCTGACTTATCTGACTTCCTAGATACCTAAAATAAGCCACTTCTCCTAATTTTTCGTCTCCTATCTTTACATTCGCTCTTTCCCTACTTTTTCTTCCCTTGCATACCAGTATTTTAGTTTTACTTTTATTTATTTTCATACAGTACTGTTTTGTCAGTACCGCTTACATTTTATTGAAAGCTATCTCTAACTCCTCCTTGCTAGATGCTAATACTGCTATATCATCTGCAAATCTAAGCATACTAATCTTTTGCCCCTGTATATCTATCCCTACAATTGTACTGTCTTTAATGATATTGATCGCTTCTTCGATGTATACATTTTTAAGTATATTTAACATCTTGTCCCATTTAATATTGTCAAAAGGTTTTTCCAAATCTACAAATCCTATGTACGCACTCCTTCCTTTTTCCTGTAAAGCTAGAATGACCTCTCTCGTTCCTCTATTTCTTCTAAACCCAAATTGAACATTCTACTTGAGAATAATCCTGGACGTTAAAGACCATTCCAATACATTTTCACTTAGTCCAACCTGGTTTTTAGTGACCGTTGTTCAACCTGTAGGCCCACACACTTACCAAGCTGGACTAATTTCGTGCAGTATAGGAGATTACAACATTTATTCGATAACTTAGCCCTTGCCGAACACTTTCAACCCCCATATTTACACACCTTTATAACTATCGACACACAACCACCATATTGCACGTTGGGAAGCTTGGAATTACAACCACCCAAAAACAATATCCAAAATACTAACGTAAGTAGAATTGAGAATCTCATTATAGTACATAGATCCAATCGCTCAATCAAAACAGAATTGATTGTAAGTCGAGCATCCGGGTCAGAAACAGAGATAAACGGGTTCGAAAGGCGTACGCGTTCGTTCCTGTGGGATTCCAGTCGTTTCCCGTGTAGCAAGGGCCATAATTCGCTCCGGGGATTTTGGGACCGGGGCGGCCAACAACCACGTCCAGCTAGTTCATTTGCAATCAACAATTCAGACGTTCGTTTTACAGGTCATACAATACCTAACGTTTGCTATTACTATTGTATCAAGCACAGATGCATCACTACATAACAACAAAACTGGCCGGAAACAATGATATTTTACCAATTCACATATCGCATACTGATCCTTGATTTCTTTGGATCACTTAGACAAATGCTGTTACATTAATATTCGTCGTCATTATCATCATAAGGTCGTCTATCCTAAGACTGGTTGGACACGCACCTCCACTCTTT